AGCTGAAGTTATTTGGTTTATCTTGTAAGTAGCTTCGTTTTTATTTTTTCATGCTGTATCTACGTTATTTGTTATTATGTGCAGGAACCTTACCATTAAAGGATTATCAGTGTAGAGTAAGCCATAGAGTGGATAGCTCAAAATGCTACCTGTGCTAGCACAGTATTCATGCACATTTCACAGACAATGTGTATTCAAGTTGCATCTGTTTCTGTATTTCCTAAAACTAGTGCAGTGCCTGTTCAAAATGTGCCTGTTAGAGGTTAGCACTGCACCCAGTGCTTTTGCTACTTTCTCAAGAACTGCTCATCCAGCTTCATAATTGACACTACACATCCTTGTGTTCTCAGCGGATGAACAGTTGTCGATAAAATCGAAAGACAGAAAGAAAGGCAGAGGTTTCTTCAATTATTGTATGGTGATTTAGTGCTTTAAATTTACATTTGTTGATTTGAATTTCATGAAATTTCTTCTCACTTGGCAGATGCTGTGATGACCAACTTCCCAGCAATGGAAGTAGACTGTTATATCATTACCATATCACCAATGTTTACCATTTTTATAATTGCTTCTATATTAATGTATATTGTCTGCTAGGTAGCAGAGGGGAGTTTCAAGCCCAATTTCACTATATAACCTCTTATATTGTGACAAAATAAATCTACCTACTTACCTACCTATAGTTGTGGGATATAGTTATTTCCTATTTTACTTCCTTCCTCATGTGTCTGTCTTTATGTGTTTTGAGCCCATTCTCATCTCAGGACGTCATGTACTGACAATTTGAGAAAGTGACAAAGCATAGCACCAGGTGCGTCTCTATGGGACGCTTCCAGAAGCGTCTCTAGCGTCTATTTCATACGGACGCTGAAGGGTACCTTTAGCGAAACATCCTTACGCTTTGTCACGCTGTCTGAAAGTGTCAGTTACGACACATTGAGATGAGAATGTGTTGGTGTTTTCCCTTGATGTCTGGGTTGAAATCCCTTGTTTTCCTGTTTTCTTGTTTGACTAACTGTAACAGAACGAACTGGCCATCATGGACCCATCAGACACCAACTCAGATTAACTAAATGCACGCCTCATGAATATAGAGGAGGAGTGTATCCTTGCTAAGGGCACAAATGAAAAAAAATTCAAATCTAGGTCTAGGCACTTGGGTATGAGGTGTTGCACAAAATGTCTGACTTACAGGTATTTGGAAAAATGGGTCCTGGCTGGGTATACACATTTGGAGTGCATAATGAATAAAGTATCTGCCTGTAGTTCTCAGCAGTGAGGAGACCAATAATATTTTCCCAAATTTGCAAGGAACCTCCACCAGACACTCATTCTTGTGCTGCTCTCTTGCCCTTCTGCAAACAGACTGCCTTCTGCTGCAGCCAAATATTTTACATTTTCACTCATCCAGTCTAGAGCACTTGCTGCCATTTTTCTGCACCCCAGTTCTCGTGTTTCTAAGCATAGTTGAGTCGTGTGGCCTTGTTTCCATGTCAGAGGTTTGGCCGCAAGTCTTCCATGAAGGCCACTTCTGACCCAGACTTCTCCAGACAATGGATGGTGTGCCAGGGTCCCACTAATTTCTGCAGCTCTGAGCTGATGGCACTGCTGGGTGGCTGTGGCTCAGGAGGTAGGAGGTTGGCTGTTAATCGGAAGGCCGGTAGTTCAATCCCTGGCTCCTCCTGGTTGCGTGGCGAAGTGTCCTTGGGCAAGATACTGAACCCCGAATTGTCCCTGGCGGCTGTTCTGCCAGTGTATGAATGAGTGTGAATGTTAGTTTCCGTTTGAGCACTTAGGCTCAGTGTATGAATGTGTGTGACTGGTGAATGCAGATGTAGTGTAAAAGCGCTTTGACTGGTCGAAAAGACTAGAAAGGCACTATACAAGTACGGAGCATTTACTGCTGGACATCTTCTGATTGTGAAGGGAAGTAAGCATGGTGTGTCTTTAATTTGCTGCAGTGAGTTTCTTTGTGCTTCTTCAAAAGAGCTTGGACAGCACATCTGGAAACCCCTTTCTGTCTGCCTGGAAGAGACCTTGCTGATACAGTATACCTACCTTGTGTCTTGCTCGTATGACTTTTGACAGTAAACTGTCTTTAGCAACCTCACCTTGTGTACTGAGTTTAGCTGTTCCTCTCCCAGTTGTATTCCTCCTGCACAGCTTTTTCCATTTCACTTAATGATTGTGTTTCAATATACATATTGAATTTATGATCATTAGCACCTGTTTGCTATGATTGTTTAATCATACACGTGACAATATGCCTACAAGATGCCTGACTTTGTGCAAGTGTTCGGAGAAAAATTGATTGATTTTGTTCATTGAGAAATATAATCTATTAACATGTCTATTTTTGAAAGTATTCTTACTTTACAGCATGTTTCCACACCCGCCTCAAACATTTGCAGAGTACTGTATATGAAAAAATAAAAGAATCAAGAGTCTTCAATATGATTTGGAAATATAAAATACAGAAACTTTGGGAGAACGCCATGTGAAATACAAAGCTTTAGATCATTTTTTCACATTTGTAAGTATTTCTTTCTTAAAAAACTTTCTACACTGTAAACTAAAGTTTAAACAGGCATGACTTATCATTTCGTTAGTTCATAATACAACTAAGAACATATACATGACAGATACATAGACAAAATCAAACAATGGTATTTCAATTCAATTAAGAAATAATAAAAAATATAGGGAAAAGGACAACAGAACCCCCCCCTGTAATTTGAAAGGGGACTTGACCTAAGATATATATCTAAGAAAAAAAATTTAATAAATTTTTACCTCTAACATAAGATTTTAGAAAGACAACCAGTCAATTTATAATGTTTTAAACATTGAATGAGATTCATTAAATCTATATTTCTATAAATGACTCTATATATCAATAAAATAAGTCAAACAGTTCAGTAAGCATGTGGCAGCAGTGCTCTGATTTGGCCAGTAAGTGGCATTCCACATCTGTGCAGTGTAGGCCTACATCCCCTCACTTTGATGTGACGATGGATCCATAAGGAAAGTTATAAATTAACAATTTTCCTTACACTGTGTGTACCACTTCAATTGTAAGCTTTGGATATATCCCTGATCTCCGCCATGAAACCCCAGACTGTTTGGATTGGCAGACACACCTCCTCCACTCTAGTGCTTAACACTGGAGCCCCCTCCTGTTCATGCTGTACATGAAGAGAACTCTGCTGTGAAGTTTGCGGATGACACCACCATCATTGGACGGATTTTTAGAGGAGCAATAGAAAGTATCCTGAGTGGAAACATCAGTAAGTGGCATGGGATGTGCACGGCCCAGGACTGGAAGGCTCTGCGAAGGGTGATTAAAACTGCTCAGAGGATCACTGGTACCCATCTCCTGAGCGTCAGTGATATCAGTGAAGTGATGTGCCTATGCAGAGCCCAAAGGATGTTAAAAGACAGTTCCCACACCATCTACAAACTTAAACCTGACTGCCGTCTGGAAAGTGACATACGTATATTATGTAACTGTGTATAGTTTTAGTTTTATTTTGTTCACATTGTGTGTGTAGCATGAAAGGTACATTGACAACCTGTGTTGTAAAATTACAAATAAATTAACCTTGATACCTTACAGTGGTGGAAGATGTATTCAGATCCTTTACCTAAGTGAAAGTACCAATATGTTAATGTAAAATTACTGAAACTAAAAGTCCATAATTCAAGTAAAATTAGTATCAGTCAAATGTACTTAAAAGTACGCATTCTGCAGTAAGATTGACAGATTGTTAAAACTGAAGGATTAATGTGTAAGCAACATTTTACTGTTTTTAACTACAGCATATGGCCCCTCCAAAGGATAAAGGTTGTGGAAGGATTATTGGAGTGGAAAAGAAAATAAGATTTGCTTTTTGACCTTTGAGGGCCTCAAACAATTATATAAAGTAAGCCATCCATCTATCAAGTTCTTAAGTTTAGATGGAAATGTCTCTTTGGTGGAACTGCTAACAGCTCATCTGAAATGTGACTAGGAGTCAAGTTGACGCTGCTTTTCTTTGTGAGGGTCTTAAGCCAAAAAGGTTGGGAACGACTTAATCTTTAACAATGTATTATATTTCATGAGCTTTTTGGTAAAAGATCTGAAATATCTGTCTTCTAAATGTAAGATGACTCTATAAAGAACTCTTTGTACATCACAAACTGACCATGTTGTGGTTGGCTTAATTCTAAATACATTATTGCCAACCAGTAACATTAACATGGACAATGCTCCTAATGTGTATAGTACATTACAAATTAGTCATATGTCTCTACGTTAAGTGTCTACTTCAACATCAGAAAGCAGAATTAAGTATTTTTGAAATGAGAACAGAAACAACCTTCCATTTACCAGAGTCAGAATATGAAACTGGTGGACGCAAGTGGTTTTTAACAGATTTATTGGAATCCAGAAAACAGTTGGAAAACACTCAATAAATAAATCTAACGTTGTCTTTCTATATGATTGATGGATTTAACTTCAAGAAAACATCAAAATGTATGCAAAAAAAACTATGATTAAGATAAATGGTGTGAACTTCATCAAGAAGGACCACAGAAAACCTCAAATCACAGTGATGTTGCATTATTGTGCAACTATAAAAAAGCAATCAGGATTTATGAACTCAGAACACACATTGAGCAGGGGAAGGTGAATATACTGCACAACACAATTTCTCTGAGAAAGTATACAGTCATTACAACACCATTCGAAGGACAAAAGTAAAAGTAAAGTAAAAGTAAAAAGTAACAAACTATCAAACATGGCAGAAATCATCAGAGGCATGCCTTGTATCAAACAATGCTCTATGTAGATAACTTACAACAGCAAAATCTGGATTGTTCATTGTCATCATAAAATTGAAACTGCTGATCAAAGGCAAATTAAAAAAACTTCCCCAACAAACCATTTAGTCCAGTTTAAATATTAAAACTCAAAATGAATGAAAAATATGCCAGAAGATTAAACATGACTTTACCAGTTTTCTTTAAAAAATTACTTTATTTCACTTTTGAAACAATAAAGATATTAAACTAAATACTAAATCAGTGTGTTTTGCACAGGTTTTCATACATAAAACTTTCAAACATGACATCACAGATGCCACCTAAATAACCTACAACTACAAACATGACTCCTGTACAACATGACTTACTGTACAAAGAACAGCAAATCAAAAGTATCCTCAAATTCTGCATACCCCCCTTCTCTTTCCTTTCATTCAAAGTGCAAAAAGTATACCAAAAACTGATTTCAAAAAGATTTGGTTTGGCTGGTTTACAGGAGAGAATAACCTCCGTTAGGTTAGTGAAGGTACTTGTTCACTTTGGCAGGAGAGTATTAAATCAATTCACTTTCATTTCAATTCAAAATGCGGATTCTCTTACATTTAAAAAAGCTTGAAACTTACACAAAATCTTTTTAGTGGCCTAAAATAACCTTACCATAGTATGTTCGATTAAGTTTCCTCTGTATCTTGTCATTTTGTCCAAGTAATATTTCTTTTGAAAACGCACCAACATGGTACACAAATTGCAGTTATAGTTTAAGATTTTTTTTTATATTAGAGTGAAGTGATCGTCATCCTGGTGGGAGGTTGCTGGTTCTTCATCCGCTTCATGTGTTGCAGCTCTCATTATAAGATGGAGGAGCTTCTGTAACAGACAGTCACCATCAGAAAAGCTGGTTAGTACACAAGTACACAGTTACATATCACTTTCCACACACAGTGCCCTCCATAATGTTTAGGACAGAAACACATTTATTTAAAAGCTGCCTCTATACTCCACAGTTTTAGATGTGTAATTTAATTTAAGGCCTTTTTAGAAATTTCAGTATTACCATGTACAAATTACAGCACTATAGAGTTGTGCCAATGAAAGTCGAGGAAACGCTTTTCTGGCTGAGAAACAAGAAGTAAACAGTAAGAGATTTTGGCCAAAACTTAGGCTTTATTAAATCAACAGTTTGGACAGAATTCTCACCATATAAAACTAACTCCCCATACACTTGTGCAACAGAAACACTCTTCAGGAGGCAGTGTTTTTACTCCATAAAGTGAAATACTGAACCTACACTGCAAGATGCAACCCTCTAGTTAGACACAAAAACAGGATGGCCAGAATACAATGTGCTAAAGCACATAAAAGAGAATGCAGAGATCTGGGGAAAAGGTCCTGTGGACAAACGAGACCGAGATCAATCTGTATCATTCTTTATCTTCATTAACAATGTGACTGTTGATGGCAGTAGCACAGTGGCTTCTGGGGTGTATAGAAACATCTTATCAGCTCAGGAAAGTGTGGGAACATTCCTCCACTGCCAGTGTATGAATGTGTGAATGACCAAAATTATGATTTTTATCATAAGGGTGATTTTGATCATTTTAAACCTGTGTCTTATTTTCACATATTCTGTTTTTTGATCTGTGCTGAAAATGGCTTAAGCTAGCAGCCGCAAACCAACTGCAGTGGCAGTGCATTTTGTGTCCTGCCTCAAAGTGTACTTTGGCTTTGGCCTTCATGGCCCCAGTGAAATTCCTGCCCTGGGCGGTGCTGCATCCTCCAGCAATGACCCTAAACATACAGCTAAAGCCAAAAAGGAGTTTCTCAAAAATTGAAGATACATACCACTGCTATCTCCCAAATATTATGGTGTCTTGAACTTGGGGGCTATGTATAAAAAGTGCCGTAATTTTAACATGACAAAAAACAGAATGTGTAAAAATACCCTTCCAAATTGGAGAGTGTACACTTTAACCAAATGTCACCTGTTTGATTATCTAAAACAGAGACAAATTTAAAAAAGGCAAAACCCAAACATTCTGGAGGTTACTGTTTGATGTCATCAGCAACAGCACTAGAAAACCATAGCCTGGTGAGTGACAACTTGTATTCCAGGCTTAGAGAGAGACAGAGACAGGCAGAGAGACAAACACTCTATGGGTGGTGGGAAGTGTCACAGAGGACAAGACGCACATTGTCGTGTTAACCAAAAGACCTCTGCGTATGTATGTGCATCTGTGTGATTAGTACATCTCAGCCATGCAGATACATGTGTGCGCACATGTGACCCCTAACACAGACATATGTGTATGTACATCTGTGTGTGTATCCTGCGACTTCACGTGCACATGCAAAAATACCCAAAGCAAAATGAATCCAAAAATCAGAAAAGCACTCACTCCCTGCTGCTCTTTAAGCTTACTTTGAACTCATGATAGGCAGCTCAGACAAGTATCAACATATTTTATCTGGACTATGGTGACTGGACAGTGATGGGGACATGTCCCCCCATCCACAGTGAAAATTAAACCCCTGCACACCGTTAAAGTAAAGTAAGGATTTGCAGAGGGAAATAGTACAGATAGTCTGTCAAAAGAAAAATTTAAGAAAAGAAATGAATGCCTGATAAAGCCCATCTTAACAAAATATTGCATGTCACCTTATTTTAAGTTGTGGGCTGCTTTTATCCATGCCAGGATCCTGTTGGAATGGAAGGAGGGTCTAACATGAGACTATCAAGTTATATTATGGGAAAGGTAGGAAATGGTGTTTTTGGAACTTGGCCCATTCTAGGGACAAAGGTTTTGACCATTCTCATGAGTCTCATGAGAATCTCATCCTAAATAACTGGAGTACTCAGTAGGTTTGATGGGGGATTTCCCCGCCACACACTCACATTAAATTAGTATTTAGGCTTCCAAAAGTATTGGAACGGTAAGGCAAATTACTTTGTTTTTGTTGTTCACTGATAACATTTGGATTTAAGATCAAAAGATGAGTATGAGAGGAGTTCAGAATTTCAGCTCTCATTTCCTGGTATTCACATCTAGAGGTGTTAAACAACTCAGGACATACCACCGTTTCTTTGTCTTTTTCAAGTGAGCAAAACTATTGGAACATGTTTCTTGTTGCCCAGGTGTTGCCTTTTAGGTTGATTGTCCAAACATTAAATAGTGGGCATAGCATGCACAACAATTTGGAATGGCCTGAAAAAGAAAGGAACTACTGGTGTACTGAGCAACAGACGTCGAACAGTTCGGCCAAGGAAAACAACAGTAGTTGATGACAGAAATATGGTGAGAGCTGTGAAGAAAACCCCCAAAACATCAGTAAGTGACATCAGCAACGACCTCCACAGTGCAGGGTGAAGGTATCACAATCCACTGTTGGAAGAAGACTCAGAGAGCAGAAATATAGAGGCCGCACCACAAGATGCAAACCACTAATCAGCAGGAAGAATTGGAAGGCCAGATTGAAATTTGCAAAGTAGTACAGAGATGAGGCGCAAAAGTTCTAAGTCCAAGATTAATCTCTACCAAAGTGTGGAGAAAGAAAGGAACTGCTTATGATCCGAAGCATACAAGCTCATCTGTGAAGCATGCTGGAGGTAATGTCATGGTTTGGGCGTGCATGGCTGCTTCAGGAACAGGCTCATTAATATTTATTGATGATGTAACTGATGATGGTAGCAGCAGAATGAATTCAGAAGTGTACAGAAACATTTCCGGAGAAATGCATTGAAACTAATGGGGAGGAAGTTTATCATGCAGCAGGACAATGAGCCAAAGCACACTGCCAACAAAACAAAGGACTTCATCAGGGGAAAAAAGTGGAAGGTTTTAGACCAGCCAAGTCAGTCACCTGACCTTAACCCAATAGAGCTGCATTTCACCTCCTTAAGAGACTGAAGGGAGAAATACCCTGAAACAAACAAGAACTGAAAGAAGCTGCGGTAAAAGCCTGGAATAGCATCACAAATGAAGAATGCAACAGTTTGGTGATGTTGATGGGTCGCAGGCTTGAGGCAGTTATTGCAAGCAAGGGTTATGCCACCAAATATTAAATGTTATTTACTTTAAGATTATTTGTTCCATTACTTTTGCTCACCTAAGAATGCTGTGGTCTAATACAAACAGTGATATGTCCTATGTCCTAAGTTGTTTAACACATCTAGATGTGAATACCAGGAAATGAGAGCTGAAATTCTGAACTCTTGTCTCATACTCATCTTTTGATCTTAAACCCAAATGTCTTCAGTGAACAACAAAAACAAAGGAATTTGCCTTACCGTTCCAATACTTTTGGAGGGGACTGTATATTTTCTGATCTTAACATCTGAACTGAAGGTGCTCCAAAGCAGGTTATCCTTGTTACAATTGTGGTCTGGAGTTTGTTGCAGTTTGGTAGAGCCTACTGAGGAAACCCTGTGCCTTGAAGATGATGAATAAGTGTTCAAATCAGTCCTAAATTATAGCCTTCTCCTCTATGTACATCCAGATCCAGTCTGCATGACTAGAGCCTATGTGCTAACTGACCTTGTGGATATGCCGAGGTGCCGTAGTCTGGAGGCAGGATGAGTGGTATTGGCATTGAGCTAGCACCCTCAAGGGGGTAAGGTGCTGTGGCCACTGTGGACTCACTGAACATAGGCCCACTGGGTACAGACCCTGGACCATGGTGCTGCTGGTTCTGGGAGAAAAATAAGCCGGGGGCATAGCTGAAAGCATTGGGTGACACCAGCTGAGACTGACGTTTATTTGTGAAGCCATCGTTCATTGGAGTCCCACCCTCTGCTCCCTGGTGGTCCTCAGCTGGAGGAGCACTGGGGGAATTATTGATGGACAACCTGGAGCGAGGAGTGGGACGGGGAGCGGGTTTGGGGTTGGGGTGAGGGGGCAGTTTGGGGTTAAGGGCAGAGGTGTCAGTTGTGGAGGTGTCAGGTGCAGAGGCTGGTGTATGTTCAGCGGGAGGAGGAGTAGCTTTTTTCGAAGGTTGCAGTTTTTTGTCTAGTGAGACGTTCCCAATGTGGATGGGTAATGTCAACATGACATCTGGAGACTTTAGATTGACCTGATAAATCAAAAGGAAAGGAAAATGTTACATTTTGACGAGCAATACAGAATTTATACCGACTACCTAATTTTGTCTTTGCTTCTTTCAATTGCTTTACCGTATTCTTTAGAATCCAAAACTCATTATGAATAAAAATACAGTATGTGTCTGATCAGCCAATCTGGACTGCACTTTACCAACATTCAACAAGAATTTACCCTGGCTCAGTTTCATTAAGTTTCTCATACAATCATGAATTAATAATGCATCTTGCAACAAACAATTACTCCATTATTACTTCATCTAGCAAATATTGTATTGATTTGATAAATATGGCTAAGATTAAGATGTTAAATTGGCACGACTGAAATATAGAAGATACAGGAAGGGAGACTACCGGCCAGATTGTTACTGTGGTCGTAAGATGTTATTTAAGATTATATTTTTAACCTTTTTCCCCCCGTGATGCAATGGGGGGGAAAAAAAAAAAGTAATTTGTTATAGACTAAACTGACATTTGACATGATAAGCATCTCCTCAACAACTTCAAATTGACCAATTCAAATTGTTTCATGATTTATTAAAGTCATGTTATTTTTACTTTGTCCATAAGATATGACAATTAAGAGAAAAATTAAATACTGTACTTTTAAAAAGAAGTGCATTAAATCTGTCTCTGTATATATAATTATTTGCTGCTGCAGCCTTAACATTTTTGTGATTACATTCAGTTCAGACTGTTGGAGGTAGGTCCAACCTAGTCAAATCTGTGTTGTGATTTTTTTTCGTGACTCTGACCACTATGTAAACTTTCCATCACATTTACAGAAAGAGGTGCATGACTGAAAGAGGTTATAATGATAGCTGTCCCTCACTAGTTGTTATCTTCAAATGGCCTATTGTTTGTCTAATAATCAAAACATAACAAAGCATATCTTACTTTGATGTAATATTCAATCTTTATGAGATCACAGCCAGCGAGGGAGGACTGTGGAAGAGGAGGAACAATGATCTGCTCCTTCCACTCCACCTCCTTGCCAGCCTTCACCACACCACCCTCCACATCTACTATCGTCCTCACATCATGGGTGGGCCTCTTCGTCTCATAGGTCACTCTCTGAAAACACACCGGGCATGGAGATTCATAAACAAAGGCAGTCCATATAAAAAAAATACAAAATACAATTTATTACTGTGCCTTTTATCAATAAACATGGAATCAACCAGTTTCTGGTGCCTTATTTCTGAAAGTGTTTCTACATTTGTACTTAATGTTTTGGCCATATTTTTTTATTTGCTCCCAGTCCATTTCACACAGTCTGTCACAACCGTTAAAATAAATGGGTTTAATTTTTCTTATGTGAGGATGAATATTATGAGCAGTTTGATATTGATATAAATTTTAATCTGAACGTAGGCTAGGCCTATTTAATTTAGGTTACATCACAGACACTGGTCATATACCACCCCACCTTTGGCGATGTGGGAACAGGTAATGACGTGAGTTTTCAGTAGCCTAAATGTTGAGATTCAGTCTTTCAACCACTATTTGAACACATTTTATGGCATGAATGGATTTTTCATTTCATTGCTTTTTGAAGTTAATTTAGAACAATGTTTGGAACACGTTGTATAATGTAATTTTTGAAGTGACAAGAAGTTCTTTAAACTGGGGTGGAACGACCACTAATTCAGTGCCCAAGTCTTTTAATGTGGAAACGCTGACACACAGCCAAGCTGAAAGACTAAGGCTAATATTTTCATAAAGCTCATAAGAACGCATCAAATCAACGCATTAGCCCATTATAGAATAGGCTACGCCTGTTCATTTAGGCATTCATACTGTCGACGATTTTCTGTCTCCCTGCATGCGTCAGCTACAGCCATGCTACAGACCATGTTGTATTTCTGTAGCGTTACAGTTTGCTCTTCGTTTGTAAAATATGATGCTCTGCTGACAGTAGACTTGTTCATGTCTGTGATTGGTCATCTGCTGCTAACACCGCCTCTTATGTGAACGCGCTCATGTCTGGATTGGGAAACCCTGGGTTGACTTACCGAGGTGATAACCAGCTTCGTGGTACCGCTTATCCCGATAGTAATTGTTAGGGTTAGTGAAGCCAGATACAGGCGTGGTACAGGCGCCTGATCTCGGTCTCTGTAACCCAGAATTTCCCCTCACCTTAGGCTAAACAAATTCAGAACTTTCACTAAACTGGCTTTCTGAAATGGGCCCCAGACCAGACCATAACAGAGATACAGAGAGACAGACACTTTATTCAACCCTAAAGGGAAATTGCAATGTAGCTTTTTTTTTCCAACAAGCATTAAGTTGATCAATATCAACAAAAAGAATTAAAAAAAAGATATCTCTCCAACTATATTTGTGCAAATGACAGTAGAATGCGCATTGTTCATTCAGAAAAAATAATCGTCCTCTCCCTGCTCTGAGGGCAGTCATTGCAAGTGGGCAGGAATGACTTCCTGTAGCGGTCCTTATTACTGCAGAGCTGAAGGAGTTTCTAACTGAAGAGACTTGGTTGTCCAACCAGTAGTTTGTGCAGAAAATGTGAAGTGTAATGATAATATCCAGGCAGTCCCCAGCACAGAGCCAGCCCTCTTAATCTGATTGTTCAGCTTCTTAGTGTAATTGGCTTTGATGCTGCTGCACCAACAGATAGCTGCAAAGAAAACTGTACTTGCAACAACAGAAAAAATGTGCAACATCTTGCAGCACAAATTAAAGGACCTAAGCTTCCTCAAGCAGACACTGGTCCATTGTCGACATGAACACAGAGTTGAGTAGCCCTTCACCACCTCCATCTCTTCTCCCCAGATGTAAATGGTCCACAACAGTCTCCTTTGTCTTGGCTGAATTTAAGATGAGGTGGTTATTCCCACATCACAACACAAAGTGATTGACCAACTACCAGTACTCAGTCTCCTCTCCAACTCTGACACAACAACCCCCTGTGACAGGACTAAGTCTGAGGTGTATAGTTTAAAGTCCCCTGTGGTGCTCCTGTGCCGCTAAACCTCTCTTCAGACACACGCCCCCCTCAGTCACACAAACTGTAGTCTGTCCAACAATTCAGGAGGCTGTGGAGGGTATCTACCTGCATCTTTTGGAGCTTCTCCTGTAGAAGTATAGGCTGGACTGTGTTAAAGGTGCTGGAGAAATCAGAGAACATGATCCTCACAGTGTGAGCAGGCGGATGATGGCATCCTCAAAGCCCACCTCAGGCAAGGTGTTAGGCGGAGGTCTGAGATTAGCCAAGATCAGTCTCACATTCATTATGTGGGATGTTAATGTCACCAGTCTATAATAGTTGAGGACAGATGGAAAGGACTTCTTTGGTACTGGAACAAGGCAGGGCGTCTTAAACAACACTGACTGACTCTTCACCTATCTCTCCAACTAAACAACACCTACATCAGAATGCTGTTTGTAGATTTCAGCTCAGCATTCAACACAATATCCCCCATGAAACTGATCAGCAAACTCAGCACTCTAGGTTTAAATACTGTAACTGGATATTGGACTTCCTCACAAACAGACCCCAGACAGTTGGGATTGGCGGACACATCTCCTCCACTCTAGTGCTCAACGCCGGAGCCCCCCAGGGCTGTGTGCTCAGCCCCCTCCCGTTCACGCTGTACACACACGACTTCATCATGCGACATGGAGAGAACTCTGTTATGAAGTATGCAGATGGCACGTCCATCATCGGCCAGATTTCAAACAACAATGACACTTTATATAGGGGGAAAACGACCATCTGCAGAGTGGTGCACAGAGAACAACCTACTGCTCAGCATCAGCAAAACCAATGAGGTAAGCATGGAATTTAGAAAAAAGGAGATAAAGACAAACATTCCTGTCACATCAACATCTGTGGAGCTAAGGTGGAGCAGGTGAACAGTTTCAGGTTCCTGAGAATCAGCATCACAGAGAACCTGACATGGTCATCTCACATATCCATGCTGGTGAAGAAAGCTCAGAAACAACCTTTTTTTTTTTTTTTAAAGGCAACTTAAGGCGGGTAAAATTCTTGTCAAGTTTAGCTATTGCTGAGGAGCAATAGAAAGCATCCTGACTGAATGCATCACAAACTGACATGGGATGTGCATGGCCCAGTACAGGAGGGCTCTGTAGCAGGTGATTAAAACTGCTCAGAAGATCATTGGTATCTATCCACCGAACATCAGTGATATTGGTGAGGTGAGGTGCCTGCAGAGCCCAAAGGATTCTAAAAGAAAGTTCCCAGCCCAGCTACAGCCTGTTCACCGTGCTGCCTTCTGAGAAGAGATACAGAAGTATCTGCTGTCACACCACCAGACTAAAGAGCAGCTTCTTCTCCCAGACTGTGAGACTCTTAAATTCATCCTCCGCACTGCACCATGCAAAATAGTTGATTTCTGTACATAATTTTTATATATAACGTTTGCTTTGTGAGTAGCATAATAGGGAAATAATAAGACAATTAATTGTACCTAGAACCTCTCACATTGTCTTGCTTGAGTATGCTCTCCAGTTTCCCTCTGTATGACTCTTGCATTCTGAGCCTCACTTTCAGCTTCCTCTTTACACTCCTGAATAAATTTCTGTCCCCATCCCTGAAGGCCATTTTATTCCTATTCAGGGAGCATTACTGGGAAACCATTGCACTCTTCTGATGGGTATGATGTTATCAATGCAGAAGTTTATGTAGTCTGTTTTGCAGTCCGTCATGGCGTTGATGCCGTCTCCATGGGGCGCACAGAGTACCTCCCAGTCTGTGGCCTTAAAACACCCCTGCACAGTCTCCACCTCCTCACTATCCGTGTGGACACATCTTAATGCTGAACAATGGATATGTAAGTGGATGTGAGAAATACCAAGTTGGGTTCTGATCTGCAAAGAGGGGCAGGGCAGTGGAGCTGTATGCATCGCTTATTCAGCATTTTGGTGTCTATGGTGGGGCATTTGATAAATTGTTTAAAATGTGGCAGAAAGAGTGTCTATACATAATAAATGAGTGTAAAAATATTGTATTGCTCTATGTAGCCTATAATGAGAGATCTAATTGAATACTAAGGTTTGGTCCTTAGATATAGTATATGTTGGTGCGTAAGCCTGAACATAACCTGCTCCTCCAATGTTTGATCAGGGCTGTAAAAAAAAATGTTTACCTGCATCAGGCTGGCTGCCATGTTGCCTGTAGTCTTCCCAGACTCATTGTGGATGTTAGCTGTCACCTGGATGATCTGGCCTGGTGTGTAACCTTTCATGTCAGTCTGAGCCTTCAGGACCACTGTACCAGTTTTCACCAGCATGTAGGTGAACTGCTGGGTCACTGCAGATGAACAGGTTCCCTGCATAGGCAGTGTTATACCATCATGGATTTATCAAGACTGACATTGATACATGTTTGTTAAATGAATTGTTCAACATTCAAACGGGCTTATTTGTTTTCTTTCTCTAGTTAGATTACAAGTTAGATGACAAGATAGTCTCATGTCTGTGGCGTAATTACAGAGCTGGAGTCAAGACGTGGTTAGCATAGCTTAGCATAAAGACTGGTCCAAAATTAATTAGCTCACCAACAAACGCATATATTATTTGTTTAAAAAGTACACAAATAGAAAAGTTAAACATTTGTGATTTTAGGGGGAGTTACGGGCTGGAGCAATTTCTTGGTGAACTATTGTGGAAGCAGGAGTGTTCAACAGTGCTCACCAGCACATCACATTGGGACATTAAACCGTTCCACTAAGCAGACTCAACTGTACACACTCATGATTCTTTTTTACTGATGATTACTGTAGCCAGTCTGACATAGATTTACAGCTCTATTGAGCCATGTTGTCCTATAGCCCTCAGTAGTAATGACTTCATGAGCTTCTTAAATGATAAAATTCTAATTATTAGAGACAAGATACGTCATCCTCTGCCCACAACTGATACAAATATATCATCAAACATAGGAACCTTAGAAACAGCTGTAAAACCCAAAATATTAAGACTGCTTTTCTCCCATTGATCTTCACCAACTAACTTAAATGATTTCACCATCTATGCCATAAACAACGCCACTGTAGTGACAGGGGCGTTGGACAGACTCAGGGCTGCAAACTGCAATTAGCTTTCGTGATTTTCAGGTCATCAAAACTGTGAAAGGTCATCCTGAATTAGCTCTCCAACATATCACAAAACTGGAAGAAATTGCGGCTTTGACATGGAGCTACTGTAGGTAACAGCCGCAAAACTAACTTCACACGACTCTTTTCATCTTGACGTGTCAAGGCGGAGCTGTCGCTGCACGTGTTGGATTGAAAACGAGTATCGACATGTTTTCAGAATTTTGGTATCGACTTGGTACCGAAGTATCAGTTCTTGTGACATCTCTAATCAGGAAATACTCAACAAACGTTCACTGTTATGCAGACGATACCTAATTATATTGATGAAACTAGATGAAACCAATCAGTTAGCTAAACTTCAACCATCCCTTAACACATAAAACCTGGATGACCTGCAATTTTCTGGTGTTAAAGTGAAGTTATTGTACTTGGCCCCAAAAACCTCTGGGACACATTATCTGAAGATATAGTTACCCTGGATGGCATCGCCATGGCCTCTAGCACTCTAGCACTTGTTTGAGAATAACTGCTCACAGTATGTAAGATAATAATGCTCTACAATCACAAAAAAAAAATTCTTCCTCAACCCTTATAAACTGGACAAATAAAATAGTGATTCTGTCTTCTCTGCCAACAAATAGTACAGATCTCAATTAAAACTTTGGATTTTGTGTCTTGACTTTAGAGTTGACCCGGGACTTGACACTAACTTGGGATTTACAAAACACTGACTTTGCCCTACCTCTGGAGGTTGCCGGGCTTGTACCTTTGTGCCTATGCACAACTATGCATACTAACTTCCACACCAAGTGCTCAAGCTGTAAAGACTGACTGCACATCCACGCCTTTACTTGAAAAGTTTACGCACTTTTTTTTGTAAACAGTCACAGCTGTAGTCAAGCAGATTTTTTGTTTTTTGTTTGTTTAATATCGTTGACCAAAACCTAAATCTGTACTCACCAAATGTATCTGACAATACGCACTATACTATAGTCATGTTGAAACAGGAAGGGGCCATACCCAAACTGCCAATCCAAAAGCCACACGACGTTTGGAGGACTGTAGCTATTGACTCTGCAGAAAGTAGGCAACTTCTCCGCACTGTGCGCCTCAGCATGGGCTGACCCCGCTCTGTGATGTTATGTGGCCTACCTCTTCGTGGCTGAGTTTCTGTTGTTCTTAACAGTGGCCCGTGGAATATTTAGTAGTGAGGAAATTTCACAAATGGACTTATTGCACAGGTGGCAACCTATCACGGTACCACGCTTGAATTCACTGAGCTCCTGTGAGCGACCCATTCTTTCACAAATGTTTGTAGAAGTGATTGGAACACCTGAATTAGATGATTTGGACGGGTGTCCTACAACTTTTGGCAATATAGTGTAGTTCAAACACAAAACTACCCCTAAAACCACATATCTGACATTTTGTCAAAGTAGGCATTAAATAAACTGAAACAATGTTAGTAGGTACGCATGTATGTATATATGTAAGTAGGTATATGAACTCTGAAGACCAACATCAGCCTCATGTTTTGTTTAAGCAGTTAATGACTGACCATATACACACACATCTAAGCATGTCTCACCCATATGTCTGGCACTTCATTCAGGTTTAGAAGGCTTAGCAGGTAGAAAGCTTTCTCTGTATTGTAGTCCTTGGCAAATCGTGGTGTGTCAATAAAAGCCCTCACTCTGTAAATGATCCTACCATAGTTGCCTTCAAAAGATGTTGGAGCAGAGTCTGTGGGAAGAAGCCAAATATGTATTTTTTTTACAACACAATAGCCAATACAGACTGATAGGTTGTTATAACTGGGTCATTGAACAGTTTGACCATGTTACATGTGATATAACAATGCTCTAAAAACATTCAACAAAAACATTCCTATTGCATAACCTTTAAAAACCTAACAAGTGAAATAAGGCTTGTGCCTTCTCTGCCAACAGAAAACACAGATCTCAATTAAACCTTTGGATTTTTGATTAGGTTAACAATTGTTACAAATGTTTAACATTGACAAGCACTAGATTCAATAGGGGATTCAAAAATAGATTGTGATTTAATAAAATAACATCAAATTCATACCCTAGTACTAGGAATAATATGCCAATTCACACCTGATCTTTTTGCTTGAAATAAATGTTACAGTATTTAAAAATAATAAATAATGTTTAGAAAGCTAATATTTCTGCATATCTTCTTGAGTAAATGTTACTCTGACAAAAGACAAGTTATATTTCCACCTTTTAATGTAAAATGAAAACAAGACTCCAGAGTGTGTCCTGATACACCTGCAAGTAAAAATGCCGGTTGGGTTGCTTTTCAGTTTCTGTGAAGTTCACAGTAGGGAGAAGACTCTACCTGGGAAAAAAGCTAAAAACACAAGAGCAGGCTGTTTTTTTCCATGCTTGAGAGTCAATTACAATGAACCATGGAAACAATGTGTAGACAGAAAGTGAGGGACAAGGTGTATTGTTTTCCAAGAATCTTGACCATGCCAAAAAATGCTTACCAAAATAAAACAAGTATACAATTCTGAAATTGTGCGTAGAAACTTAAAGTAGCCAGGGTTACTGTGTAGGGTAATATCCTTTTAAGGACATTATTTTGACATCACAAATAAATAATCTCATTACCATATGACAAAATGTTTTTTCTGGTGATCCAACTTTACATGCATACATACACATATATACAGAATATACACACACAATTATACAGATACATAGTACTGATGTAAAGTATTGTAAGATATGGTATAGCTGCCTGGTCTGGCTCCCTTACTGTACAGTCTAAATCAAGACTCATGAACATGACAAAAGTGCCATGAAAGTGATAGGCATGAAGGATCTACAGCAGTCACTTCAGTACATGGTTGAGTATGCTGTCATTAGACAGGCTAACAAAATCTTAGATGATCCTTCACATGTGCTATTTTCTGATTATGAGTTGTTGCCTTCAGGAAGATAATTTAGTGCTTGCAGATGCAGAGGTAAATGTTTTAAACTCTCTTTCCTCCCCACCTCCATTTCTTTACTCAATATGCAAATCCCTCAGTCATGGCACGGAGCAGGTTTTATTAGATCTTACGATTACGCACAGTTTGGTTTTATATTATTTTATTGTAACTCCAGGTGATCTTGGAGGAGTGCAATTTTTCATATTTTAGCTTACTTATCTTATTTACTTATTACAGAAAGGTGCATTTATATATTACCTTACTTATTTTTAACATGGATTTTTATACATGTATGGTCTACTTGCTTCTCTTCTCTTGGATTTACTGCTGTATTCGCTTTGCCAGTACGTCAGCACCTACTTTCTGGGCTGACGATTGGTTTGTATGTGTATGTATTATCTGCCAAGAAAAATTTCTCCAAGGAGACAATAAAGTTCATCTAATCTAATCTAATATACATACAGAAATACAAATATCTTTTCAATAATTGTGGCTATCCATAAGGGTAATGTTTTTGCATAGTGCTGATTTGATCCACCCCATGTAATTGAATTTATTTCCAACAAGTAACTGGCAGACTAGGTAAGCCTTATTTTTAGCCTAGTAGTTCTTGATCATTTGCAGCACTGACCAATGAGTGATTTCTGAGCAATTTAATTATAATGACTTGATGAAAAAAACTTTGGTCAAAATATAAGACAGAGTTATGTGGTTAAATTTCAAGGACATTAAAAGCACTATGTTAAAAAAGGGGCTATTTTCAAAATATTCCAGTACTGTTATTTTGTGATTATTATTTTTTTAATGGCACACAGTGCTGTGCTCAGTCTTGCCATGGTGTATGACTTTTGACAGTAAACCTCATATTGATAGATGAGTTTGGCTGTTCCTCACCCAGTTTTATTCCTCCTACACAGCCGTTTCAGTTAATGATTGTGTTTAAACCTACATTTTGGATTGGTGATCATTAGCCCCCTATTAGACTTTCTGCAAGTAATCCTAGAAGAATAGATACATTAAAACAGCTGCCTGCTGCTGGTAACAAGAGTGGTGAGAGTGACAGAAAACAGTAAAGTTGTGGTTGCTAAAACCAAAGCAATGTGCTAAAAGAGGCAAAAAAGTTCCATAGAGCTGAAGGGAATTGCAGAGTTGGTGATAATTTTCTGTGGGTTCTTTAACATGAGCGACTCCTTGCACATTACACATGGTCATTGTCAGTATAAAATTATTGAGCTTAAAAGTGTAGAAATGTAAATATTAATCTGAAATTGTGACATTCAATGTACTACATTTGAACAATAAGCTGCACTGGTTCATCCAAATACAGTGCAATGTTTCACACAACACTCATAAGCCCCAGTGAATGACGGGATAACAGTCCCATCCTTACTGCTGTTGAACCATAGGAAAATTAGGGTAAATATCATGTCAGTGCATGTCTGCTGTGAAATGCAAGGGCAAAACACACAAAAACATTCCTACCTGGTATGAGAAACTTGAATGGAAAAGTGTGTTCTCCCTGCTTGAGGGTTCCTGTATGGGACATAGAGAGCAAAGAAAACAGTCAGTCAGTGGAAACACTGACTTTTTCTAGCAACAATTGCCTTGCTGTTTCCCACCAGGCAGATATGCCTTGGTCTCTCCTTACTAGCTTATTGTTATAAGAGTAGTGTGGCTCCTTTAAGGAATAGGGCAGTGCATAAGTAAAGTCAGCATCGACTTTGGCCCTGGAGCAAAATAAAGTCTTTAAGTCTACCTCATTAAGCAGATCATATGATTATAAAAATATTTTTCACTAGAAAGCTTCTATTACACTTCAGTAATGAGATTTTACATGCCAGTAGAGGGCTCAGTGGTTGATGACTATAAGCCATCAGCCTAACCATAACTGGGCCTACCTCATAACAATACAGATAGATCAAACTCTTTGGATCAGTTGTTCTGCAGCATACCTTTATCTGCAACAGAGATGGTGCTGTTGAAGTACTGTTCCTCCACCGTCCATGCCGTGTCATTTACCTTACTGGTAATACCACAGAAACCATTGCAGTTCACTTTGATGGCTGCAGATAAGAATATACAGACAGTGAATTGGAAGTTTGCAGCATGAAACACTTCTCATAAGCAAATAATGTCATTAAGCAGAGTCATTAATTTAATTTCCTTTATGGGCAGAACCAAAAAAGCACAAGTATGTTATACTAAAGCCCTGAAAAAGAGAAGAGGAAGCGGAAATGCCCACTAGTAATATGAAACCTATCACAGCTCTGTGACTGACGAAAATACTGAACTTTACTACACATTCAAAGTTATCCAGTGAGCCTGTAACCCAGCAGACCTTCTATGTTCAAATTGGCCGTGGGTAGTTAGTGAAGTACGCACAACTAAAGCCCAACTCAGCAGACAAGGTTGTAAAAGTAAGAGATTTATTATTTTTTCTTTTAATTAAATATCAGGTGACTTGCTGCAGGAACATTCCTAACTTTTGGATGAACATTAAACTTCTGTGGGTGAATCATCATCATTGCAAACAAGGTGGAACAATGTTGTTTTTTGACCTTATTACAGGAACAAAACACTGCATTGTGATCATGACTCTGCATGACTCACCTGTCAGTCTTCTTAAGAAGACCAGAATGTATTGCCATTACCTGCTTTGATCCACTACACATTTAGATATTTTTGTCTACATTTTCCTATAAACATTGGAATAATGGTCCACCACAATGCACACCATGGTTAGAACCAATTGATTTTCTTAAATTTCACTCTTTAGGAGATTATGGGTTTGTAAGTGTTATATAGTCTTACATAAAGAGGGTCATCATCAACCTTTCAGGAACTAAGCAACCAAAATGTGTCTCAACCTAAACAGGAGCATATAATACTTAAAATCATTTGTGTTCTTGGTAAATGTACATGGATCAATAAAAATGTATGACTACCTTAAGTGTCAGCTTGGCATTGTAACTGTGAGAGTTGAGGATTTGGGAAAGAGCTTGAAAAAATAGTGTCAGTGAGGTCCAATACTGATGTTGGATAATAAAGTCTTGTTCACAGTCAGTGTTCCAGTTCATCCCAAACGTGTTGGATCGGGTTGAGGTCAGGGCTCTGTGCAGGCCAGTCAAGTGTTCACACCAATCTGAAACTCTTTCTTTATGCAGCTGGCTTTGTGCATGGGGACACTGTCGTGTGAAAACAGGTGAGGGACAAACACAAATTGTTGCTACAAATTTGGAAGCCCACTGTTGTCTAAAACATAACTGTATGTTGTAGCACAACAATTTCTCTTCATTAGAAATCATGGACACAAACCAGAAAAAGTGTCCCAGACCAACAACAGTGTATGTCCACATGCAAGTTGTCATTAGTCTTAGTCCATGATATATTTGTCTATTTTAGTCTAAAAACAATGAAAGCAAAAACATTTTTTTCTTAATTATTTATATTGTACACTTCTGAAACAGTCCTCTTGAAATCTCATCATATCCAACTTATCCCAGGTGAGCTGCGATGACTGAAACACATTTGATTTTTAATGCATTGTAAATACAGTATTTGCCCAGTAATACGTAACTTATCTCAGGGCCCAACCCACTTCATAATACATTGCATGGTGAGAGAGTTTGTTGGCTGGGAGTTGGTACTGTGAAGCTGACAGTCTGACCAGCTCTACCTGAAGAGGAATGTAAACAGACTGGAAGGCCTACAAGCCTTTAAAAAGCGACTCCCAAATACATCAAACCTGCTCTCAGCAAGTCGACAGACAAATTTGATAAATGGTTAGTCTTTCTATAACGACAGAACTATCACTTAAGAATGATCTAAAGGAAAAAGTCTACATCTTAAAAAACAGTAATTTCTTTGTTACTCCTTTGGTAAGGTGACATTTACTTGTTGGGATTTTAGTGATATTTTGACACTGTAACAGAAACAATTGTTTAGAAGTGCAAAATGTGGGAAAGGGTGAATTTGTCATTTGAGCATGTTTCCCTTTTCCTGACACTTTCATTCACTTTTCATTCAAATGTGTTGTCTGTCATTTGGGAATTTGTCACTATTATCAGGCTGCTTGAAAAAGTTAAGACTCTTCAGCTGATCCAGAATGCTGCAGCATGTGTTCTGACGGGAACCAGGAAAAGAGCTCACATTTCTCCTGTCTTAGCTTCTCTGCATTGGCTTCCAGTAAAATCTAGAATAGAATTTAAAATCATTCTTCTTACCTAGAAAGCTCTTAATGGTCAGGCACCATCTTATCTTAAAGAGCTCATAGTACCTTACTACCCCACCAGAGCACTGCGCTCCCAGAATGCAGGGTTACTTGTGGTTCCTAGAGTCTCCAAAAGTAGACTAGGAGCCAGAGCGTTCAGCTATCAAGCTCCTCTCCTGTGGAACCAGGTTCCAGTTTGGGTTCAGGAGGCAGACACCATCTCCACATTTAAGAGTAGGCTTAAGACTTTCCTCTTTGATAAAGCTTATAGTTAGGGCTGGCTCAGGTGAGTCCTGAACCATCCCTTATATATGCTGCTATAGGCCTAGACTGCTGGGGGATTTCCCATGATGCACTGAGCTCCTCTCTCCTCTACTTTCTCTCCCTCTGTATGCAACCTCATCCCATTATTGCATGTTACTAACACAACTTCTCCCCTTTCCGGTAGTCTTGTGCTTTCTCGTCTCTCTCCTCTCTCCTATCACTTCCTGCAGGTTTTTTGGCTCTGGAGCTGTGGAGTCTGGATCTGTGGCTGCGGGTCACCTGCTGCCCCCGTGTTCCTGCTCGACACCCTCTGCTATGCAACAACTATTGTTACTAGTCCTATTGTTATTTTTATTGTTATTATAATCATTAACATTACGATTATTATCATAAACAGTACTATAAATATCTGTACCATTATTCGTTCAGTCTATAGCAACATCACCTTTACTGTCTGTATCTCTGTGTGTATATTGTGTAGGCTGCCTCCCTCCTCTCTCTTTTCCTTGCCTCTGTCGCCTAGTGCTTGCTCTTGGTGGGAATTGTTGGGCTTCTGTAAATATCATCATAGGATACGGTCTAGACCTGCTGTTTTATGAAAAGCGCTGTGAGATAACTGTTGTTGTGATTTGGCGCTATATAAATAAAATTGAGTTGAATTGAAATGGAAATGCCCTTCACAAGTTGCCCTTCAAGTTCCCTTTTCCAGTTTGGCCTCCTTTAATTTAAGTTTGTGTTTATAGGCTACTAGTTAAAAGGTAGTAAGTATTACCTATTTTCCCATTGGAGTCAATCAACTTAGAGCTGCAGCTAACAATCCTCATATTTGACAAGTATGGAAGCAAAGAAAGGCCGTAAGGATTTGTATCTTATAAACAACCGAACAGCTGAATTCCTCTCTTTGCAATTTATAGTCGGTAATTTCAAGTTGTGGTTTTTGAAATTGCACTTTGTACAGTAGCTTTCAAAAATTCAGACTGTGTCCAATATTTAAAAATGTAACTGTTGAAATTCAGTTAGGCTACTAGTCATTGAGGCTACTGAAGATAAAACAATGCACCCTAAATGTAATAAATCAGACCTCCTAGCATTCTGTCAGTCATGTGAATGTCAAGTCACGTCCGTCAAGTTCCGGTTTAGGGCCCTGTCTCAGTCTGGGATTATGATACCCAGGTGTCCGATTAGGTCCCATTAGATCTCTCATGGAAACCCAGAATCAATGTGTAGGAATATTACAGGAACATTATGCTGTTGCGGTGCTGTCGGGAATTACTCTCAGTGCCATAAAAAGTCCATTTAAAAAACATTAGAGTAGACTCCACAGACTACTATACCAACATTAAAGCGATTTTCAAATTTAAGAGGCTATTTCTACAGTAATATAGAGCGAGAGGCCTAATTTACATCCATGTAGCCTAATCTTAAAATCCATTACTTCCTTGTTTAGCGACGGCGACGTCTTCCACCAGGTGAGTAAATGTAAAAACTGTAATAACCGCAGAATTAGCAGTCTTACCTTTACACTGCAGCGGCTGGACCAATTTGATTGTCACAGTTCCAGTAATAGGGTCGCCAGGACTGTACATCACTTTGTTTTTGTCAAACGTGATCACAAACTCTTGAAGTTTCCCCATGTTTTCCCCGATGCACAGAGCGCACCACACCTGTGCACTCTTCTTTTCTTCTGCTTCTTTTAGGGTTTTACGGCACTTGGCATTCAGGATGCGGCATGCTGCCACCTTCAGGTTTCATTCTCCTTCAGTATCAATCCATTTAACAGCCGTCTTTCCAGCCCAGTCCTTTAAAGTCCTTTCTATACACTATGCCATCCCCCTCTGATTTTGATCATTTCATATTGGTTTCAACAATTCAGCTGTTTGTTATTTTGCCAATTTATCTGCTCTCTTGTTTCCCAGGATACCTGAATGTGGTGGGACCCACATGAGCTTCATATTTTTCCCTTGCCTAACTACTCTTGAGTTTGTAAACAAGATTTCATAAAGCAGACCTCGATAACTTTGGAGTGTTACTGTCTGCCATCTGAGTATTTTTAACTCGATTTGAAATTCAAATATGCAGATTATTATTTCCTCATTCACATCCTGGTGATGTTGCTGCCATCTCCACCTCCAAATCTAGGAGCCAACAACACTCACATTTACAACTTACCATCCCCGCCCCTTCACATAACTCACTTGAGTAGCTTTTTTCAAACTTTATTCTCTGATGTGTGTTTATGATGACATTGCAGTAAAAACTGTTTATTGTGATGTGTCTTTTTCAAATGCTGAGGTATGAATGTTGCCAACAAAAATATCATTTAATTACATTTATTATTGTATGTCAAAATTCTTAATGAATTATAACTGTATAATCTAACAAGCTTTAAGAGTTCTTTCTTTCATTCTCTTGCACTGGTGGTATGGGTGAAATTGATTGAGGGTATTTGTAAAATGGAAACAAAAGCTCATTGTAGCTCACTGTGTTTTTTTTGTCTTAGGACTGATTCACCCACAGTAATAACAATTTTAAAATACACCTTATGATGCCTACACTATGATATATGAGTGCATTTAGGTGGCTCAGTAGTCCAGTGGTTAGGATTGTTGCCTCACACCAAGTTCCTGTGCTCAAACAATCTGGGACCTTTCTTCGAGGAGAGGAGGAGTGGAGGAGTGGAGGAGTGGATGAGTTTACATGTGAATGTCTGATAGATTGGTGAACTATCCAGACTTCACCCCGCCTCTTGCTCAGTGTGAAATACGATAGGCTGTATGTAGGGAAGATGGAGGGAGCAGCAAGAGGGAGAGAAAGCAGCAAATCACCCCGTGTTGATATAGTACCACTGTTTTGGGTCAGCGGTCTCCTGAATTCTCTGGATCCAGTTTATAACAAATAAACCTTTGAGCTTCATTATTGATTACACCTAAGACTACTTGTGAATCTGTCCAAAATACTCTCCATAAACCCTGATATCTAGCTACTCCTTTAGCATATTGCAGCAAAGATCACTGCTGCATTTTACTCTTGTCTTGGTATGGTGACTATTTTTGTAGGCACAACTCTCGCTTTGCCCATGATCAAGGCACAGTGGACCTGATCTTCACTTACAGTTATTTTCAAATATAACTCTGAGCCTGTCCTCTCTGACGGGGGCCTTTTCCATCTCTCTGAGGATCCATTCCACTGCCTTGTTATCTAACAAAAGAAACTGCTTTGAGAAAGGTTTATTTGCACAATAACAAAACATGCAATACATTTTAAACATAAAAGAAACAAACCTGCATTATCCAAAAAGGTAACTTAAGCTAAAAAAAGTTACTACATTATAATCTGTTAGTTATCTGTTTTCCTTTATATAAATAAAGACATTTCCACTGTAATGCTCCAGTATTTCTTCAAAATAGTGTTAAAAATCTTCTTGTCTTGTTCTTGTGCATCATCACATCTCGTGACCCGAGTGTATCATCATGCCCCTTATCTGAGCCCTTAAAAAATGTCGTTTTTGATGATCTGTTGTGTTTTTGTGCTAAGAGTGGTAAAATAGTAGCACATAGGCTACTTGTATGTATGTGAATATTATCAAAGTGACAGAAAAAAACCTGCAAGATCAAGAATTAGTGTGTAAAATATGTAAGTCACAGTGAAAGAAGTGCACTGCACACAAACAGTAATAACATCTACCACTGACAACTACTGGGGCATTCAAAACCTTTCTAATTTGACAGTGTTAAGCTTTTACAAAAGATACTGGAGCAGACACAGGGTGAGGCAAACAAACAGGGGTTTTATTGTGTCAAAGAACAGATGGTGTGCTGAAAACTCCAGTAGGGCAATGGCAGAAAGTGGGCAGGCAGACGAGCGAGATCCAAAACTTCAAACAGGCAGGTAGGCTGAGCTTCTACAAGCAGGTATCCCCTGGGATAAAACGTTTGAACTGACAGGAAAAACAGTCAAAGAATTTCACCTTAGTGAGTAGTTACCACAACGTGAATGGATAATCTGGCGAAAACTGGAGTGATGAGGCGGGGGTTTAAATCAGCTGAGGTTTATAGAGGGATTGACAGGCGCGTAGGAAACACTAGGGACACCAGCAGCTATGTGTTAATTAGACATATTGATTGATAATTAGGGTTACATAACAACCTTGATGAGACTTATTTGAATAATAAAAGAACTGAGATATGGTTACTTCCAATGTGCTTTGGAGATATCAAGTCCAGCAATGATTTTATTAAAATGTCAATCAAGTCAGATTTTGCTATCATCTCCCACAGCAACATTTGACATAATGTTCAATAAGAGGTTCTACAAAAGTTCCTTTAATGTTATTGAAATTTGTGCTAACATTCCACAAAGGTGATGCAAGAACCAAAAAATAATATAATAGTTTAGTCCCCCAAAGGTTCCTGTAATGTTGCTAAAGGTTCTGAAAACGTTAAGTAAACGTGATGGAAGGACCTAAATAGGAAAAAAAAATGACATCCTAGAGACCTAAAGGGAACTTCCTATGGTAATGGTCCCCTAAATGTTCTCACAACATCCTGAATGTTCCCTGAAGGTCTGCCAAACAACGTCCCCCAACTCTGAAAAACTCCACATCGTGAAAGTCAAAGAACGTTCTGTCAAGTGTGGCGTGGGTTGTGTGGGTGGTACTGGTGTATCTTGTATGTGTCCCTGATTCAAAAATACAAGTCCCACATTCCACAAAGCGCTAATCACAGTGAGTGATCAGTGTTTTAAAAAGCTGTGTCCATGTTTTAAGTCCCATGCCTAGTGTCCAGAAACTTCTATAGTCCTCCACTGGTTTTCACATCATAATTGCACACAAGGAGAAGGAGTGCACACACACACACACACACAGTATAAATATCTATGTAATAAATTCCTTATTAAAAACTGACTTACTTAAACATTTTTCACTGTGCTCCTTAATTTTTTTGTGTGCTCCTATATTTATGTTTCATCTTTGATACGTGCTGAGGAGGCTTCCTAAACTTTACAAAATAGAACTTCTCTTTATTGTTATGTCCATGGTCAGACATGAAGCTGCACTGCAGTCCTCTGCTGGGGTACAGCCTGGGCCTTGTTGTTTCCTGGCACTAGTGGGGGCTTAGCATTGCTGTATGGTTATGTAAACCACTCAAGATTTGGGTAAAACACAAAAACACTGCAATATTATAAACTGCATGCTTGAACAAAGTTTCACCCCTCTCTCTTTTATGCCCAGTATAAACATTTGGGTGAGGCGAGGGAGGAACTGATGCTTGACAGTTTGTATTGATTCTATTTCAAACCAGTTTTTCAGCAGGTTTGACTCCCCAATGCAGGCCAGACCCCCTTCCACCTCTTCAAGGAGGAACACCTCAGCTTTTATATACTTCACCAATCTTTCCTGAACAACTCTGACTGGATGGTGTAACATATTAAACATAAATAAATGTCATACAGTAACTTATGGAGTAATTCATGTATACTACAAACACAAATTTCAAATCTACATATTTATTTAAATATAAATGTAAAACAAGTACAGTGATAATGTATATGATGTATAATGTGAGACAACGTCACCACCTGCCAGTGTAGTTAGTAAACTGCCTCTCATACTTGTGGATTTTTTCTACAGATTTTCCCACACATCGGACAAATGTAACAAGACCCACAAATTGACAGGAAGTACTTCACAAATGCTGAATGTTGAAATGGGTCAACGAATGCATAAATATCAAGTACACAGACCTCTTTATTCTTCAATGCAAAAAGGTATAATAACAAGAATTGCCAAAACCTGTTTTTGATTGTTTTTTTCTGTTTTTTCATCCTGACACCAAAAATGTTGTTCTTTTTTGGTTTTGAAATAAATTTATGTTTTTGAATTACAAATTAATTATTGATTATCCAATGATACGCAGAACATGATTGGTTTAAACTTTATGTCAAACATGGCTATGTTTTTGTTTAATCATTAAAGGCTATATGTAGTTTTTAATGAAATCACATATCAATAAATCACTTTTTATTGCATATAAGTGAACGAGTTGTAACCTCACACCACTAGGCAGCACCAGCCTGTCCATCTAATATTGGCACCAGCGATTTTACTAATGGCCACATTGTCCTGGTTACTTTAATGGCACTTAATGAACACAGACTGCAGAAAATAGTACTAGTGACAGCCCTTTCTACCCTTCTAGATTCATTTGCACCGCTTTCTACCAAACAGGCAGTCAAGTCTACGTCCTGGTTTACATATGAAACACGTTCTTAAGCAGGGCAGCAGGAGATTAAAACGTAATTGGCGAAAGTCTAATATGGAAGTTTTGTTCTTTGCATGGCATGAGAGTGTATTAAACTACAGGTGTGCTCTAGCTACTGCAAAAACAGCCAATCAGTAAATATCCATAATTATACATTTTTCTGTGGCCATACACAAAAGCAGCCCTCTGTCGGCTATTCATCCTGTACGGCTCATGACTTCTTAGATTGTTTTCTGCAGTAAAATAGATGGGAAACAAAAGGACTTCCTCATCAGTTCCTACAAATTTCTCTCTTGAGACATCTAAACTGGGTTTAGCTTTAAAAGCACTTGTCTCATCTTGTCACTTTGCCTGGAAAACCATAACACCACTTTGTTTCTAAATAATCATTTATTTACAGGTTTGTTGCACTACTTACAATTCAAATAACAC